GGGGCAGGGGGGGGAGGGGGCTGGGCAAGGGGGGCGCCAAGCGGCACCGCAAGGTGCTGCGCGACAACATCCAGGGCATCACGAAGCCGGCCATCCGGCGCCTGGCCCGCCGCGGCGGCGTGAAGCGCATCTCGGGGCTGATCTACGAGGAGACGCGCGGCGTGCTGAAGGTGTTTCTGGAGAACGTGATCCGCGACGCCGTGACCTACACGGAGCACGCCAAGAGGAAGACGGTGACGGCCATGGACGTGGTGTACGCTCTCAAGCGCCAGGGACGCACCCTCTACGGCTTCGGCGGCTAAACTCGATTCCTGGGACAGGTTGCACGCATCTAAAACACAAAGGCTCTTTTCAGAGCCACCCACAAACATCACAACGAGAGCTGCTGATTACTCTTACAAATGTTAGTTGTTTAAAATGAGAAATTATAGCTCAAGATTTGTACCATATTTTGTAGTTCATGCAACACACATATTTACTGTGTCCATAAGGTTTCATAAATGGGAAAATGATTTGCAATTACAGCTCTTTTTAGGAATGCATGGGGGCTCTTAAAAGAGCCTTTGGTTTAGTCGATCTCTCTCTAACAGATTTACTTGGAGCTGGTGTACTTGGTGACGGCCTTGGTGCCCTCGGAGACGGCGTGCTTGGCCAGCTCGCCGGGCAGCAGGAGCCGCACGGCCGTCTGGATCTCCCGCGAGGTGATGGTGGAGCGCTTGTTGTAGTGCGCCAGGCGCGAGGCCTCGCCGGCGATGCGCTCGAAGATGTCGTTCACGAAGGAGTTCATGATGCTCATGGCCTTGGATGAGATGCCCGTGTCGGGGTGCACCTGCTTCAGCACCTTGTACACGTAGATGGAGTAGCTCTCCTTCCTTGTTCTCTTCCGTTTCTTGTCGCCCTTCTTCTGCGTCTTGGTGACGGCTTTCTTGGAGCCCTTCTTCGGAGCCGGAGCAGATTTCGCCGGCTCAGGCATCCTTAAAAGTTTCTTTTCAAGACCTTAACCGTACTTCAACAACATAAAAAATGGCGTCTGCCCCCCCCTATTTATAAGGGCGTTATGCAAATTAGAGGATTGTAATCGTCCCATTCCTATTGGAGTAAAAATACCAACGTAATTACAAGCACTTCCGTCCTGTAACCGTCACAGCTTTAGGAGCTGCATCTTAACACAATCGATGTGCTTTGCAGTTACGCTGCTGGCGGTACTGTCCTCACTAGTGAGGCAAGTTATCTAAATACGTAATACAAGCTAATGCAATTACTTTAAATGTTTGACTTTAGCGCACTGGGCACGTCGCAGTGAGCGGGGTCTTTTAGGACTTTTAGAAAAATTAATACATTGTAGCAGTTTGTAAATCTTAAAACTGTTAAGACTCAAAAGTGTTTTGATATTACAGGTGTATTAAAGCACTTTTGAAAATCAAAATTTAGCAATCAGCAGCTCTCGTTGTGATGTTTGTGGGTGGCTCTGAAAAGAGCCTTTGTGTTTTAGATGCGTGCAACCTGTCCCAGGAATCGAGTTTAGCCGCCGAAGCCGTAGAGGGTGCGTCCCTGGCGCTTGAGGGCGTACACCACGTCCATGGCCGTCACCGTCTTCCTCTTGGCGTGCTCCGTGTAGGTCACGGCGTCGCGGATCACGTTCTCCAGAAACACCTTCAGCACGCCGCGCGTCTCCTCGTAGATCAGCCCCGAGATGCGCTTCACGCCGCCGCGGCGGGCCAGGCGCCGGATGGCCGGCTTCGTGATGCCCTGGATGTTGTCGCGCAGCACCTTGCGGTGCCGCTTGGCGCCCCCCTTGCCCAGCCCCCTCCCCCCCCTGCCCC